TGAGTCTCTGGGATCATGGCCATTAAGCAACTTGATTAATAGCCAGAGGCATTGTTAGTGGGCAGTGACTGGGGGTCTCGTTGGGGTGGGAGCGGGGAAGAAGGGGCTGGCTTCACCCCCATCCTGTGAGGTCCTGGTGTCTCGTCACTGCGGAATCCCTACCTGGCTGTCCATTGGCCTCTGGAAGATAGCGGCAACAGAGCTGCCAGGGGGAATAGACGAATCATTTTACTTTTTTGTACATGTTTTGTAAGCATTTTCTCACAGTCTGAGAATACTTATTTTTCTTAATATTATCTTTTGATAAGTGAGACATCACTTGATCACTTGACATCCCGTTACTCATCGATTTGCTCGAGCGGGCACCAGTAATGTCTCCATTCATCCCTGTCGCTTGCTAGTGTAGCCCAATGGCGTCTGCTTGTTCTAGGAACATGAAGAGCCTCAAACCAATTGTTCAGGATCTTGACAAAGAAGTCTGACCATCTCGTAGGTGGGCAGCCACACGATCTTTTGGCATCCCGTGGAATCCAGTCCGTAATGGCCCTAGTGCAGCGGTCGTCTCCAAATCTCATTACATGTCCATCCCATCTGATTTTCAAAATGATATATATATATATATTCTAATTTATGTTACTTTGCAACTTTTTAGTTTTTGTTTTCAGGTTGTGCTATGCTTAGGGCTTACTCCTGGTTCTGGACCCAGGGATCACTCCTGGCTGGCTTAGGAACTATATGTGGTGTCAGGTATTGAAATTGGGTTGGCTGTGTGCAAGCAAACCACCTTACTCAGTACTATAACTCTGGTCCTGTTTTTGTTCTTTTTATTCTATTGGTGTTGGTCTTTCCTTAGAAGAGTTCTCTCTCTCTCTCTCTCTCTCTCTCTCTGTCTGTCTGTCTGTCTGTCTGTCTTCCTCTCTCTCTATCTTTCTCTCAGGTAGATGTTTTGGGTGCAGTGATGCACAGATGCTACTTCTGACTTGATGGTCAGGGACATACTCAGAGGTGCTCAGGGGACCAGGAGGTGCTGGGGATACTTGGGAGACAATGGTTTTGGGAATGAAACCTAGGCCTCTTGAATGCAAAGATTGTGCTCCAATTTTATGAGTTATCTCTGGGACCCATGTCTTGATTATTATAGTTGGTCTTCAAGTAGTCTTCAAATGAACTCAGTCTGTTGTTTTTGTCACAATTTATTTTATTATTCTACATCTTTTGCATTAAATGCATTTTAGTATCAATATTTTAATTTCTGTAAAACATTTGTAATTAGAATTATGCTATGTCTTTAAATAAAATTGTCAGGTTAGCCATATTTCATCTTTTAATTCTTGATATGATGCATATTTTAAATATATTTTGACTTCTTAGCAGTTAAAACATTAAAAAGAATTTTAAAAAACTTTTTAGTGGTAGGTATTTTACTGTTGGTGCTATTAAAAAGATTTATAAATGATTATTATTTTAAAGCTACTGAGGGTATTCCGCCTGCACCGCAGAGCCTGGCAAGCTACCCATTGCGTATTTGATATACCCAAAACAGTAACAATAATGGGCGTCATTCCCCTGACCCTAAAAGTGTCTCCAATATGGCAGCATTGGGAAAGATGAGTAAGGAGAGGCTGTTAAAATCTCAGGGCTGGGGCGAAAAAAGATGTTACTGGTGCCCACTCGAGCAAATTGATGAACAACAGGATGACAGGTGATACAGGTGATTATTTTAAAGATATTATCATAAATTAAACTATAATCATTTGTTTTATGGGCTGCACTTGAAGTGCTCTGGGACCCCCAGCTCTTTGCTCAGGGATCACTCCTGTTCTAGGGGACCATATGATGCCTGAGACCAAGCCCAGCCTCCTGAATGAAAAAAATGAGCTATAACCTCCAGTTCTTGAAATAATTTTTATAATTTCGCTTTCCAGTGGTTGCATAGATGCATATTTTGTTTTTTTTCTACCCCCTACCCTGTAACACCAGTTAAAACATTTACTAGTTTCAGTAGGTTTTCTTGTTACTTTTAGGGGCCAGTTGGTTGAACTGTCTCTTTAGCCCTTAGTAGCTTTTTAAAACAAATGTATTCAATTTTCATATATATGTACGAAATAATATTTAATCAATATTGGGTAAGAATCTCAATTTGTGTCTGTCTTATGCATTTTGATTATTAGACAGGGAGAATGTGAATAAGGGAAACTACCACAGAAATGAAGAGGTTTCCTCACTGGATCATGTCACTGTGTAAAATCGTTAACATGGATGATCATAGTTGATTTTAATCTTGATGATGCTTCAGCAGTAGGTTAAAGTGTTATCTACTAGGCTTATTTTCCACATAAAGTCATTACTTTTTCCTTTTACATCTTCTTTTATTTGGATTCAAGTCATCAAATCCAGTCCACAGTCATGGTAAAGAGAATTTTAAGCTCCACTTTCTGGAGGTAGAGATATATTTTTTTTCAGGAGCCTTTATTGAGACAATATGATTTCCAAAGTTGTTCATAATAGAGTTGTTTCCAAGTTTCATCACTAATCCCATCACCAATGTCCCCTTCCCTACACCAATATTCCCAGGTTTCCTCCTCCCACCAGGCTACCAACGTGGCAGTTATACAGCAAAGTTATTTCATATTCTCCAGTACAGATCTTTTGGTTCTGCAATGCTCTGATAAAATTGAGGAGGGCAGGCCTGAGAGCCAACACTCATTGCTGACACACAGGGATTGCAATCACTGAGGTGGCTCTGGTGTGGCACCCGATTTCTAGGGAGGCAGGCAGGAAGCAGGCTCTCCCTCGAGGGACTCCACTGCTGGGTGGGAGGGAGAAAGTCTGGGCACTTACAGCCAGTGGAAGAGATGTCTCCAGGCAGACATTCTCAGCATGGGAAGCCCTTCCTCTACCTCGACAGCCATGCCCCTTGCCTCTGGGCATTCCCTGGGCCAGCCAGCGGAGGACGGATTCACTCTGATTCAGTTTAGTTCAAGTATTCTGACCTGCCACTTTGCATGTTTTTGTACTAGAGAACCAAATTCCAGGGAGTAGACACTTTCACTTACACCAGAATCAAACTCAGACCTGCCTGGCTCTACAGGCTGAACTCTTACTGGCCTGGAAACCCCATCTACCCATCTTTTGTGTTTTTTCCCTTCATCTTGGTGGTTGTGTATGTATTCCATCTGGTCAGCACACTGGATGCTTTACATGACCTCAGGGACTGGCAATCATGGCTGACGTGCGGCCTCAGCCTGGTCTAGCTATATGGGGTTTTCTTGAAATGACCACCAGGCTCATTATTTATGCGTTACCTACAGGTGATTTCAAGCTAGAGTTGACAGTTAAAACAGCCACAAATATTGATTACCTGATCTGATAAGAATGGTTTGGCAATCTAATACAACAGATTTGGCAAACATAACAAGTCTAACTTGTACTACAATCATGCATGTGTGCATGTGTGTTTCTACAATCCTACTTTTCACATAAGGAAACTGAGGCTCAGAGAGGTCAGAATTCCAGTCAAGTAGAGAGGTTCCAGAGCATACAGATGTTCTATCCAAGATGATAGCTGTGGGCCTGGGGTGAGGTCTGGGGAGGCGCCGAAGCTGTAGGAGTCACACCCTAATTCCAGGGCACCCCCAGGGAAGGACAGGGTAGTGGTCCGGTTGATGTATGCTGAGTGGAGAGTGGGGATGGGTGGGGCTGTTAGGGGAACCCCGGGTCATATCCCTGACTGTGCTGGCTTTAACTGGGCCGCACAGGACATTGGAAGTGGCAGATGGGATAGACATCCGGCCTAGGGAAGGTTTCCCTGATTTGTTAACAACTGTTTGGCTAAAAGTTTTCCTGAAAATCTTTCTGTAAATAATGATTTTAAAAGCAATGAGAATGCTCCAGCCAGACTTTCCCTTGATTTCTAAGCTTTGTTCGGGCAGGGTTTTGTTGGAGTTATGAGTGCACATTCAAGGAAGAAACGCGGGCTTCTTTTTTGGAGACTTGCTCACATGTGGCAGAGACTTGGAGAACATACAAGTGGCCTGGGATTAGGGCTCATGTCCGCTCCTCCCTGCCAGCGAGTGACCTTCCCAGGGGTACTGTGAGTGGACATTCAGACAATGCCTGCAAGCTCGGGGAGCTCCCGGCCTCCTCAGGGCCAGACCACAACACTACTTCTGGCTTGCTTTGAGGTGGGTGAATAAATATTTGACTAAAACTCACTTTGCAGCCTTGAGGCAATCCACCATGTTTCCGGAAATGTCACAGAGCATGCTATCCCCCACCAGAAGCAGCTGTGAAGTCTTAAGATGTATAATCTGTCCTCCCCACCACCCCATTTCTCTTCACTGGCTTGAAGAGCTCAGATTCCTTCAACCATTTATACTTCGACACTTTCCATTCAATCTCATCCAAATTCTCTATACTCTTGGAGTTTAGGCCTGAATTTTTAAAGTTTGAAAAAAAATCACAAGAAATATTTGTAAGGATTTTGTTAAAGCTTAAGACTATGAAGAATGTCATTCCTAATGACGAAATGAAACAGCTCTGGCACTAAGTAATGATAACGATCAGTCTTGTGGACTTCCCTTTTTGCCAGTGACTTACTAGGAAACTCACAACCAAATTTAGGCTCCATTTTACTCCCCTTTTCTAGGTTTATTTCCCTGCCTCATTTTGCCCCCATAACTATTGCTTTTCATTTTGTGGTATCTGCTGCTTATTATAAACTACCCCATCCATCCATTTCTTTATATATATATGTATATATAAAGTAAAGTAAAGGCCCTCCCATTGATCATCGATTTGCTCGAGCGGGCCCAGCAACGTCTCCATTGGAGACTTTGTTGTTACTGTGTCTGACATATGGAATAAGTCACGGGGAGCTTGCCAGGCTCTGCCGTGCAGGCGAGATACTCTCGGCAGCTTGCCGGGCTCTCTGAGAGGGGCGGAGGAATCGAACTCCGGTCGGCCATGTTGGCTGCGTGCAAGGCAAACGCCCTACCGCTGTGCTATTGCTCCAGCACATATACTAAGATTGGAACGATACAGAGAAGATTAGGATGGCCCCTGCGCAAGGATGACACGCAAATGTATATATATATGTATATATGTATATAATTTTTTTTCTTCTTGGGTCACACCCAGCGATGCTCAGGGGTAACTCCTGGCTTTGCATTCAGGAATTACTCCTGGCTGTGCTCTGGGGACCGTTTGGGATGCTGGAGACTGAACCTGAGTTGGCTGCGTGCAAGGCAAACACCCTCCCTGCTGTACTGTTGCTCCGGCCCCCATCCATCATTCAATCATCTCAGTCATTCAATCATTCTCACCCCCTCTAGCTCAACAAAAAGAGAGGAAGATCACATGCACTTGACGTGTGAGAGTCTGAGGGGCACAGCTGTTGCCACACCCCTGCTGGTTCTCCCCTTCCCACAATGCTGCTGCTAAGGGTAAAGATGCCAGTAACACCAACAGGAGACAACATTTATTCACTGCTTATGGTGTTTTTCTGTATATCTGATAGATGTGATTTCACTGAAACCTTTCAGTTCAATTTAAGGAAGCATTTCAGATGAGGAAGTTGAGGCAAAGAGAAGTTATGTGATTTCCCCAACCTCACCAATTCAGAAAAACTGGCATGCAGACTCAAGTGTCTGTCTTTCAGGGCATGCTCTTGCCCATGACACAGTACAGTGGACATCACCAGGCCATTTCACGCTGCTCCTCTAGTAACTGAAGGGGCCTGACATTTCAGATGAGACATTACTCACAGAAGCTGTGGACACTACTCTGGGTCTCATCGTGGGGAGACGGGATGGGGGCTTTAGGGAGGTGCTCACTGCTATACCCCACCCCTACCCTGGGCAGCCGTGGCTCCCGCAACCCACAACTCAGACAAACACAGAATTGGGGATCAGAGAGGCTGCCCCATCATTTTATGAGCAGAGACCTGGAGGAGGACCAGGGTCTGACTTGAGAATTTGTGATCAAAATAAAGGGTCCTGTACAGGCAAGGCAAGGCCAGGGGCTGGGGGCGGGTGGGGGGGGCAGTTAGCGACAATGTTGAGGCTGGAAACTAGGAAAGGAGGAGAGAAGGAAGCCCAAAGACCTGCTGGCTGACCCTCACTTTACCGACTGAGCGCCAGGGACTTCATTATGCAAGCCAAATGCTCTTGTCATTCTTGGAATGAGGAAACGAAATGCACAGAGATAGGGAAACAAACCCCAGGGCAGTGACAGGTGCAGTCTGTCCAGATGGGGTCATCGGGAGCATTCCACTCTGGGGCAGGAGCAGAGTCCCCGCTGCTGGAGGCTGGGGTTCGACTTGAAGATCTGAAGAAGGGACTGAGGAATATGTGAGGCACAGAGGGAGCTCGGGAGTGTGGACAGGAGAAGTTAATAGAAGTCCAACTCCTGTACTCCAGTCTGGGGGCAGCTAGGAGGGAGGACCCCTGCACCCCCAGAAAAGGGTCCACACACCTCGCCTATCCCAGAGCATGAGAAAGAGGTTGGGCTGCTGCCAGCGGGCAGGTGCCGGCTGTCTCTCCCACAACCCGTCCCTTCTGAGAAACCAAGGGAAGGCGGGAGAAGGGACAAAGGCAAAAAGGGGTTAAGGAAGAGAAAGGGTGAGTTTGCATGCTCGCCTGGCCTCACCACCCTCTGTGTGCCCCGGCCATCCCTGGTCATTAGTGAAGCATTGTGAGCCATCATGTTCGAGTCCTCAGGGGCTGTGGTTTGCACCAAGGGCAGCGGGGGCTTCTCAGACCCCTCCAAGCAGCCTCTGCAGGGAGCATGCAGGAAGGCCTGGAGGGTGCAGTGAGGTCAGCGATAGTCTGACAGTTCCCCACCTCACTGATGGGAAAGAGGAGAGGGGAAATGCATCATGCGATGCCATAGAGAAATTCCTGATGTCCTGGGGGAAGCAGATGTGGGGACAACAAACAAACCAGAGATGCAGGGCAGCACTTTTTCTCCTGACGCTCCTTTCTTACTACTTCTGCCCTAAATGTTACTTGAGGTTGCCACAGTCCCTAGCAGCTTGCTTGCTCTTTCTTTCTTTCTTTCTTTCTTTCTTTCTTTCTTTCTTTCTTTCTTTCTTTCTTTCTTTCTGTTTTATTGAATCATCGTGAGATATAGTTACAAGCGTTCATATTTGAGTTACAATCACACAATGATCAAACACCCATCCCTCCACCAGTGCACATTCCCCACCACCTAGCAGGCTTCCAAGATCAAGATTTAACCTATCTTTGGGCCCACAGTGACAAGACACAAGGGGCCTCACGGGGTGGGGATGGAGCCGGCCCTTTCTTCCCCGTCCCAATGAGACAATGAGACCCCGAGTTGCCGCCCACAAAAGGCCTCTCTCTGGCTCCTGATCAAGCTGCTTTACGGCCATGATCCCAGAGACTCAGAAAAAAATCTCGAAACCCAACAGCTCTTGGCAGAAATGCATCTGGACCGTGCAATATGTTACTATCGCCGGGCCACCCCAGGGGGGAAAGGGTGCTATCCCTCCGCCTGCTCCCCCTTGGCAGCTTGGTGGCCGCCATCCTCCAGAGGCCATTGAACAGTCAGGTTTGGGCCCGCAGTGACGAGACATGCGGGGCCTCATGGGATGGGGGTGGAGCCGGCCCTTTCCTCCCCTTTCCAACAAGACTCCAGTCGCTACCCTTGAACGGCCTCCCTGGCTCCTGATCAAGCTGCTTAATGGCCGTGATCCCAAAGACTCAGGAACAAATCTCGGAACCCAGCAGGTTTGGGCAGAAATACCTCCAGATTCAATTGTTAAAATTTCGGAATTTCAGTGTCGTGTGGCCACTACTGCAGCCATGCAACAGCATATATTATTCATAAGAGCAATAGAAAACAAATTGTCTACAGTTGCCTTTTCAGCCAATCTGAGTGTTGGGGTAAAATCCCAAATAATAATGGTGGGTCTGGTGTCAAAATATTGAATGTAATCAAAGTAGAGAGAGAGTAATGTGGAAATCATCTGCCCCACAGGTAGGGGGAGGGTGTGGGATGGGATTTTTTGGTGGTGGAAAATGGGCACTGATGAAGTTATGGGTTTTTCATTGTATGACTGAGACTTAAACCCGAAAGCTTTGTAACTGCTCTCATGGTGATTAAATAAATAAAATTATAAAAAATGAAAAAAAGTAAGGTGGAGTTTATGCCCAATTCAATCAGCCTAATCAGTGGCTGAATAAATAGCAGTATTCCTACATAAAAAAAACACACAAAGATTTAACTTATCACTGTTAGTTGGACCTCAGTTTCAATGGAAATTATGGTAAAAATCAGAAGAGTCACAAATTATTGAACACCTACTACATGCCACCCATGAGGCTAGCTGGGTGGGATGGACTGTCTGCCTATCTGCAAAAACAAGAGTGGGTTCTTTAAATGTACCCAGGTCCTGCGCTTCAGCAAACTAAGTTTGGCTGCCATTAAGTTGGCTGCCACTAAGTTTCAGTGCATCTGTGTTTCTTCATCCCATTTGCTTTCCAGTTCTTTTTTTTTTCTTTTTGGGTCACAAAAGATAAGAGTAAGCCGTGAGTATCACCAGGTGTGACCCAAAAACAAACAAAATTTTAACAAATACAGAAATATCTCTCTCATACATGGGTTATAAAGAAACACAGTAATGAAATACTAAAAGCTCACAAAGACATCAGAACCTGAAAAGTGGTTTATAAAACTAAATTCAACAAAATCAGGAGTAGGGTGGGAAAGGGAGGTGTGGGCCCCCGAAGCAATGGTGGAGGGGAGCTGACAATCTAGTGGAGAATGTGGTGCTGGAAAGTTGTGTGCAGGAAATCCTATCATTGCAGTATTGTAACTCATAGTGCTCCAAATTAAAAAATATTGGGGGGGGGGGAGGGTCACACCCGGCGATACACAGGGGTTACCCCTGGCTCTGCACTCAGGAATTATCCCTGGCTGTGCTCAGGGGACCATATGGGATGCTGGGAATGGAACCCAGGTCGGCCGCGTGCAAGGCAAACACCCTACCCACCGTGCTATTGCTCCAGCCCCTGCCTTCCAGTTCTTCTGAATCCATTGATTCTTCTATTGTTCCTCTAGAATGCATCCCATCGTTCTCTGGTATGCCGTTCATTTCTTTTCAGACTATTTCCCACCTTCTGCTATTTCTTAGTGGTTTTCTCCTTCTCATCTTTAAGCGCCTGGATATTTTATTCAACTTCTGCTATTTTGCTTTTTAGTTTCTGATGACTTTTTAAAATATCACCTCCAGTGTTCTTCATTTCTGTCATTTCTGGCTGTGGAGGTTTTTTTCCTGTTGACTCTGATACTTTTTGTCTTGATTTGTTTTGGGTCCCCACCAGAAGATATTCAGGGGTCACTCCTTACTCTGTACTCAAGAATTACTCATTGTGGTGCTGGGGGTACCATATGGGATGCCAGGCATTGAAGCTGGGTTGGCCGTGTGCAAAACAAACACCCTACCTGCTGTTCAGTCACTCCGGCTCTTCTCATACTTTCTTGTGCATTGCTGATTACCTGTGCTATCGTTTCTTTGAACCCATTGAACATCCTCATCAAAGTGAAGACACTGTGTTAGGATAAACTAGTGTTGTTTATGTCGTCAGTGATACTGTTTTCACTCACTGAGATTGGTGGGCTTCTATGTGTTTACCCTGTTGGTTCTCTAGTGTTCTTGCTTTGCTGGGGTGAGTCTTTGTAGTGAACCCCACTGGACTAACTACATGCCGAAGGGTTAAGCGGGAGATTGCTCCCTGTCTTCTCTTCCCATCCACACAGTATTACAGGAGGAATAACTGTGAGCAGCATGTAATTTGTTGGGTGGATCTGCTGCATGGTTGTGTTCTGGAATGGGTCTAGTGATATCAGCCAGAGGCAGCCTCACCCAGGGCAGTGGAACAGCAAGCTGAAGGTCAATATTTTCATTTATTAGTTGAAAAGGAAATATTTTCACTTATTCCCATGTTTTTTTGTTTGTTTTTTTTTTCTTTGCTTTTTGGGTCACACCTGGCGACGCACAGGGGTTACTCCTGGCTCTGCACTCAAGAATCAGCCCTGGCAGTGCTCAGGGGACCATATGGGATGCTGGGAATCGAACCTGG